TGAAGGTTCATTGATTTACTGACCTTGATGACTGTACAAATATACAAAGAGATATAAAGTCGTCGAGTCTGAACTTTCCACATCTCGTTTGATCAAAACTCTGCATGATAATCAAAATGAACACTTCTAATTTGGATCATGCATTATAAAATTAAGTTGTATATGGCCTATCTCTAACTGTAAGAAAGATCATCTTATTTCGTTTACCTCACAAACAGTATAAAAAGCTGGAGAGTCGAGAGAGAATTCAAGTTTCACCAGCGCCTAATAGCCATTATATAAAATTGAAAAATAATTAAAGGATGAAAAGATATAGATAAAGAAATGGAAAGTGTTGCCAAAGTCCTGGTAAAGAAAGAAAGAAGGGTCTTGCAACTACCACAATTTCAAGTTCATAACTAATTATGGTCCCAAAAGTTGATAAATATGAAAAAACGAACAGCCAGCCCATGTAGTTTATCTACCTTGTAAACTTCATCAGGAACAAGAAATCCACGTCCCCTGTGGCAGTATACAAAAAAAAACAAATATAATTACAGTCCTCTCTACTAGTTGCAACTACAAATATTTGTAAACAACAATGTAACACCAATAAGATGTGAGGACCAGATATTAAGTTCAGATAATCAAAGTTTTATTGAGGGAAATGCATTATTTTTATCAGGGGTAATTCTTAAGCCACGACCAACAAGAGATGGTAAACACTATGCTTCCTAATATAAAAGAATGGATGAAATGGTTCCACCACATTCTCAGCACACTGAAGTATGCACTAAAAAGTCCATTTATTTAAAAATGTTTTGAATTTAAGATGATAGCTACATCTTATTTAATTTTTCAGTGCTTCAGAAATGTTAAATTTGCTTGAGCAACTACAGCCAGTGAAAAAGAATCAAGAACTTGTGTAAAAAACAGCATTATCCAAGTTCTTCAGTAAATCACCTCTCCAAGTCTGAAAAGGCCTGTTGAACCTGCAAGGAAATCAAATATCATTGATTATGCTGGAGTTAAAAATGTACCCTCTTTTTCTTATTCCCTCACAAAACTTCTCTGGTATTGCAAATATAATTCCAGAAAAAAAAGGAGACCTATCGATTCCTGAACAAAAAAGGCCTCCTCGAAACCACATATTTTAAGAATACCATAGACAAGATATACAATGCCAGGTGATAGCTTCAAGATTTCAGCATGGAAACTCAAAATTATTTAGTAACATAGACACATTATTGAGCCAGATGATAGCAAAGAGATTTCCGTAACTCTAAGGAAGTGCACAATGCAACACTTCCACTACAGCAAGAAGCATAATCAAATCTTCTAATCCACCTCGTATTCATGCAGTTTCTCCAAGCTTAATCCTTATTTTATTAAATTAAAAGCATCAGATGATCGGATCACAACTCTGCTTAGCCTATTCTATTCTTACCAGGGGGAGAAGTGGGAATTTAATCAAGGATTAAAGAAATTTGAATAATAGGCAACCAGTACTCAACGCTCTGGCTAAATTCACAAGATACCCGCAATGAGAGACTCGAGCAATTCTAAAGCATACAAAGGAAAACACTCACCTTTAGCAGAAACTTGTTAAGTTCGACAAACTCTGAGAAAAAATAAGTATTACCGAATCAGAAAAAGATTCACATTCAGTTAAAAACACTTGTTAATGCAGAAACATGAATGGAAAGATGGAAATATCATTCAATGCCTAATTGCATCTGAAATAGAAACCTCAGATGCTAGTATGGTTGATTTAGAGGTTAGCTTAAATTTCATCAACATGAATTACATTCAAATTATTCAAAGAGCTTAAGTATAACATGAAGTAATTTATGGGAAAAAAAAAATCACCTTCAAAGCTCATAGTTCCATTTTTGTCAAAATCGTACATCCTGAATTAGTCAAAAGAAGCAGTTTTACAAACCTTAATATGCTGTATATTCTAAATTTCAGACTATCCGTCACAAAAAAAAAAAAAACCTGATCATTTGTTGAACAACGGAGGTGGGGAAATGAAGGTTTCCGACAGCAAAAGCACTCTGATCTTCCGAAAAAAAAGGGGGGCTAAATTGCTTCACTCATATGCTAAAAAGGAAAGTAAGAGATAAAAATTGACCTTGAGTTGAGTAGCGACGATGCATCCAGTTTTGTCTGAGTCAACCCGATCGAACCACTCTCTCAAAATCGCTGTGCTTTCCATTTCCACTTCTCGACCTGTCAGATTACTCAACAACGTCGATGCCAAGAACAAACTTTTCCTTTTTTTAGTTTTTTAAACCTTCGTGGCCATTGATTTTCCACCTTTGGGGCTTTTTCCACGAAGGTCCAAAAGAAAGAAGCGTTCCCACAACTTGGCCCTATCTTTTGGACCGATGACTATTTTTCATTTTTCATTGATTACAATTTAACCATCAGACAATTTTTTATTTATTTTAACGAATAATTAACGCATAACGTATTTTTCACTATTATTCATAATTTTTATTTTTAACATTTTCACCCTTGGTTACACGTGATTACGCAAAATGTCATTTTCATCAATTTTTTCTGAAGTAAAGGGTATTCTCATAATATTTTCTCTTTCTTCCCCGTTTGAACACATTTTCTCATTTATTTCTTCCTCTGAAATATTAAATTCAACCAAATCCAGAACGGCCATGTTTATGTATATTTGAGCCCTAACGAATAGAATTGACCACTTTCCCAAGGACCCATTGAGAAAGGGACTAAATTTCTATTCCTTCACACAGCTACTTCTCTAAGACACTTGGGAAGCAATGAAACTTCATCATTTTCCATGATATGAGAGAAAAAGAAGAATTTAGATAGACTTAGATCTAGTATCTCTTCTAGATCTATATATACTAAAGTCTCTATATAGTGCGTTCACGTTTGTACTCTCGAGTTCCAACACGTTCACACACTTTCCTCATTAAACAAATGAAATTCTTGATTTGAAAAGACAATTAAAAGAAATTGATTATCCAGTTGAGCAAACCTTCGTATGCAGCTTCTCTGCCTGCTTATAATTTTTCAATTTCAATTTGCAAGCTGCATTATTCGAGTTACAAATGATCTTTAGTGCTATGGAATTGATTATCCAGTTGAGCAAACCTTCGTACGTAGCTTCTCTGCTTGCTTATAATTTTTCAATTTCAATTTACAAGTTGCATTATTTAGGTTACAAGTGATCTTCAATGCTTTGGACTGTTTCTTTTTCTCCTCATTGAAAGAGGTGTCATGCTCAATGTACTTGGCAGCCCGAGTTCAGAATCTCCCATGTGAGGCACATAAAGTTACACAACACATACTACTTTGCTATCAAATTAAATGGAGTCAAAATCCCTTTGGAAATATTACCTTCCATATCTTTTTGAGGCTCTCACATATTTCCCGGCCTTAAACAGTACGTTGCCTTCTTCTTTTTTCCTATCGGCAGCCTCAATCTTTTCTTGGGTGTTCATATCCCATGAAACTAAAGATTATTTTTCAGAGGAAGAAATAGATAGGAAAATTGGTTCAAATGGGGAAGAAAGAGAAAAAAAATAACGAGAGTATATTTCACTTAACTGAGAAATTGGATGAAGATTAATTAAAAGGATCTTCTGTGCAATCAAATGTATAATTAATGATGAAAATGTCAAAAATTGAAGGTATAAACGTTTTCTACAATAATAATGAAAGGTAATGACGTTATGTGCTAATTACCCTTATTTTTATATTTTAAAAGCGTAGAATGTATTTCCAAAGCTTGATCCCAGTTCAATAACTCGGTAACTCTTCATTCTTACTATTTGAATTGGACCTTGATCTCAGCTTGATTATGGTTACTTATAATGGTTGATAGCAAACTTTTGCAGGACCGCAAACATTACTCAAACACTTGAATGATGTTAGTTCGCAATGACAGTCAAAACCTAACTCCATTTTAAAACAGCTCTCATATTCTAAACTTTAAACGAAGAGGAAAAACAATTGGAGTCTCCAGTGTGGTGGGTACAAGTAAAACCATCGGCCATTACTGTAGAAAAGAGTTACGAGAGCTCGTAATGCGGGATAGCTAGAAGAGAAAAATCATAAATAATTGAGAAGGACAAAAAATAGGAGGATCTACGAAAACATGCTTAATTTTTGGCTTGGATATTGAATTTTTGTTCATGAGTAAAATCTAGAAGCGTTTTTCAATTCTATATAATTTTTTGGGATGATAATTGTTGAGCTTTCTTGGTTAAATTCCATCCTTCCGGGGGTCCATTTTAACATTTTTATGTTTTTAGATAGTTCTAGGATATTTTTTGTCTTTTGCAGTTTTTTAGTTTTAGCCACTGTTTGTTTCCCATTATTTAAGGTGGAAAATGCATTTTTTTTTACCATTTTTTCAAAGAAGTGGGTCCCACTGTGAGATAAAATTGTCAAAAAAAGGCGGCCAATCCCAGTTGCAACGATAAGAAATGGCATTATAATTGGAAAGGAACAAGGGCTTAATTGGATTTGTTTTGTTAGTTTTCTAGTTTAGTTGAATTTATCCATAGAAATAGAACCTCGTTTGAATTAGTATTTGTTTTGAGATTTTAAGCCCTGTTTGGGAGGGATTTTCAAAATTTTACAGTAAATCAATTCTCATTTTTAACCACATATTTTTCAATAAAATAATATTTTCCATCACATCAATAATTTTTTCTTCTTTTTTCAATCACACATTTCCCATCATATCACTATTCAAAATCAATTCTTCCTCCAAAAATCACTCCCAAACAAGCACTAAATATGTGTTCAGAATTCGTAAATTAGACATTTTTTTGTTGATTAATATGATATTTTAGTTTTTCCATTAATCGGTTGATTTCAATATTTATTTGATGAATTTCAAATAGTTATCGTGTTCGTTCGAGCGAAATTCATGCAAATAATCGATAGCATGTTACGAACAAGATATTTTTATTATTATATATATACGCTTCCGTCATGTGTCAGCTGCTAACGTGAGAACTGAGAAGTAGTCGGGGAAACTGATGATGATAGGATGCTGTATTAATTAATCCCTCCTCCTCGTGTAGCATTGTGCCAAACATCACATCGATCAAGAGGAAATAATTGGAGGCGGCCCTGCGATGTCCCCTAACTCAACTTTTGAACTATACAAAGTTGATACGAATAGATTTGATGTAATTTGTTTAACAACGAGTCCATAACAAGTGGCAAGCTCTGTAGATTATCCCATTAAAAAAGTCGACATTGATTGTGTTTTTACCCTGACAAAGATATTTTATTAGAACATGTTTGAGCTCATTTTTTCATCAAAAATTTTGAATTTGCACATAATATTATTTTATTAAAAAATATGTGATCAAAAATAAAAGAGAGAAAAATATATTTTAAAAATAATGAGAATCAAATAAGGACGATGTAACACCTAGTTTTGCCATTGATTTGAACAATACTTGAAAATAAAAAATCATTGGTCTCGACTTTTACACATGATAAAATGTCAATCAAGATATACAAATAGCTTAATTCATGCAGAAAATGATATTTGTGCCCCTAGTTTTGCTGGCTGGTTGAGTGATGGTAGGGGTAAGAATGACATTGCACAAGTAAAATGGAGGGTATATATGTCAATGGGTTCCAATGATTCAGTGGATTTTTTTTTTTTTTTTTATTTTGGATTTTCCGACACTTGAAAT